TTAAGTATGTTAAGTACATACTTAAGTATGTTAAGTACATACTTAAGCTTAAATACGAGGCTTAAGTACGTATGTTAACAAGTATGCTAAGTAAGTACTTAAGTAAGGGAGTTTAAGTACGTCTCAAGTCACGTAATTAAACTCAAGTATGTTAAGTACGTACATAAGGGTAATTAAATTCTACGAACGAACGAACGAACAAACGAACATGTTCGTAGATTCTACGAACGAACGAACGAACAAACGAACATGTTCGTAGATTCTACGAACGAACGAACGAACATGTTCGTAAATTCTACGAACGAACGAACGAACAAACGAACATGTTCGCATACGAACGAACGAACGAGCGCTCGTTGACCGCTCTGGGTGATATCTCTTCATTCTTTTTTTTCTCGAAGGAAAAATTGAATTGGAGCAATTAATTGGCTTTTGTTTGCAAGCAAAAATCAACCATTTGTTTTCATTTGCAACCAATTTTTGTTGTTTTGCTTCAATTTGTCGGTTTTTCTTTCTCGCATGCCTGATATCTCTTTTTTGTTGAAGGCGCGCGTTGGTAATTAGATGACTTATTGGCGAGACATTGAAACTGAAAATATTAATTGCTTTCCATGTACAAGTCATTCCATTTCACTGCGCTGCGTTTTATAAGTGAATGAAAGAAACACACTGAAAAAAAGATTATACGTCTATGCTATCGGCTCGAATGGACACACGATTCTCAGAAGAAAAAAAAAGAAGAAGCACGAGCGAACGAAAAAACTGGGGAAAATTATTGATCACCAAATGAATTGCAGCTTTGTTATCGTTGATAAATGACTCCGCTTCGGTTGATCATCAATTACGAAACGGTAGGCGCGCTTTCAATTTAAGCGGCCCAAACCCAAGCATTGTATTTGATTTGGAAATTTGTTTGTGTTACGCCGCGTTGCGTGCTAAATCTGAGGTAACAAATATTGGCGAATATATCATTTTGCGCGGGTGCGAGAGGCGCGCGCTCGCTCGCTGTTGTTGGGGTCGACAGTGAAAAATGTATCATTCGAAATCGATATTTTGAAACCTTTGATTGGATGTTATCCATAGAAAACTCCATTCATACCATACGGCCATTCAGTTCGTTTTGGGATTGCAGCAATGACTGCAACGAACAATAGACGGCCAACAATTCATATTGCTCAAATCATGTTGTTTTTGTTTTCGGAAATCACTTTAGTGCATCGTTTTGCGACAATTGAGTGTGAGTGAAAAATCAAAAACGATTGAATAACAGGAGCGGCTTTTCACAAAAGGAACTCAAGAAGAAAACAATCAAGATTGGAAACGTTCAAAAAACAATAGGTGGTGTGATATAAGTGCACGGCAAAATGAAAGATGTCTCGGAAGTCTGTTACCGATCGCTGTTTGGTCGGAATTTCGGTGTATTAATTGGCACAATTGCATCAATTTATATCGCCACCAAAGGCTTTCAGTATATCAGGTAAGTGCAAACATTCACAGTTACATTTCATTGCAATGGAGTGTGACGCTTGCATCATAATCAAACAAAAATAGATAAACAAACCGAAACGATTTGAACGTTGTTCTTTGTCAGTGATTACATTTTGAATTCGACAGTGCATATAAACAACAAACACTCTACAAGATTACAGTGTTTTCATTTTCATTTCCCTGTCTGGTGTTCTTGCCCGCTTGTCGAAAACTCCAAATGCGCTATGAAATATCTAATTCAAAATGCACTTGAATAACATTTAATTAGATGATACCGCGCAACAGCATCAAAGACGCTTTTGCATCATCAATTGTTATTTCTACCGTCAAAATTACTTTGGATTTGTTCACTACATACGTTACCAAATGGATAAATACGCCTGAAAATCGTTCTCCGCTCCATTTTTCAACATCAATTAGCATTTTTGTTCCGCTTACTTCATTTACCTTGCATCAAAGCTATACCTACTTGCATCAGAACAACTTACGTGCATCGAAAACAGCCGGAATCTTGTGTGTGTGTGAGAAAAAAAAGACATTTATCAACGTCGATGAGGTAATTACAACACAAAAGTTTGCGGTTGATAAGCCATACGGTATGGCTCACGCCAGTTCACGGGAATAGCAAAGAGTGCAGACGACATCACACGGCGTCGAAATTCAAGCGTCATCGCATAACAGGTTCACAAAAATAACACTTTGATTTTCCATTGACCCGGGCTAAATTTAGCCGAAAAATCGATGCACTGCTACAAAATGCAAACATCCACTTGCATATTTATAAATTCGTAAAATGGAAATACATTTTTCGTATGTGTCGAGTTTACCATCATCTAATTACCCACTTCTAAAGCTCATAAATATTTTTGCTTTTTGCTAAGGTTGACCTGATTGTGTTACAACGAGATGCATTGGACAAAGTCTAAGCCAATCGATCCAGCTTATGATTTTCTCTCTTTCCTTTCAATTCGATCCGCTAGACTGTCGGCGCAAAAAAAATTTCTTCCCCGAAAAATGTCCAATTCTGAAGACGATTGCATGTGAATTAATAATAAAAAAAAGCAAAGTGCCAATTTCATGTCAGTCTTACAACGTTGCTTTCGTTGAATGCCGTGCATCTATCCACCACGAAATGGAGAGAAAATTTAATAAATTGCACTTGATTTGATTTATTGGTTAATTATAAAATAGAACGGAAAAATAAGCAGGTTACAGAGAGAAAAAAATGAGTTGGCCATTGGTAATTGTTTCGATTGTTTTGCAAGAATTGGTCGAGATTCTCTTCCCTCTCCCTTTCTCTCTCTCTCTCTCTGTGTGTGTGTGTGTATGGCTGCAAAATCTTTTCACCTGGATTTGAAATCTATGGAACATTGACGATGATGATAATGATGTATAAATTGTGGCAGATTATTTCTTTTCTCATTTTTTTCCTAACTCTACTGACTTTGTAGGCTGATTTGCTGTAGCGTATGGAATGTTTGTGGAGTGTTGATTTTCAAACGGACAACAACGCTATTCTAATGCGATAATGAATATTCAATTGCGACTACATCGGAATGAATCATATAGACATTCATCGGCATAGATCATATATTCAAAAGGCATATCTATACCTCTATTTAAAAAAAAAAAAGTGAACATATGCATTTTGTCCGTTCCTCTTTAGTTTGTGTTCACTTTGGATGGCTTTGGCACTCGTCAATACAGTTTAAGTTGCATATATTCTCTCTCCTCTGGTTTTAATGCATATTATGTCTGTACATTACATATAGCAACGAGGAAAAAAGAGAGAAAAAAACGTTTAATCGTGATGGTTTGACATCACATACATACACATGAACTCATCACCCGAACTATTGCCGCTGCTGCTGCTGCTGCTGGATTATTCATGTAAATGATTATTCCATGCGTGATCGTCGGTTACTTACATTCATGCTGCTGCCGTGATCCGTCAAGTGAAAAATTCAAAACGGAAGTTCAACTTCCAATGCCAACGCGAGGGAGAGAGAGAGAGAGAGAGAGAGAGAGAGAGAGAGAGAGAGAGAGACAGAGTGTGTGTGTATATGGCCTGAGTACACTGAGTTGGTGTGTTGGACATATCGCATGTGTACACACTATACATACGTGATCATTCATTTGGTTGCCTTACCAAAACATTTCATGTACACAGTTCTCCGCCCCGTCCCTTTTGTTCTTCATCCGAAAATTCAGTACGCGCGCGTTCTCCAGAATAAAGTTGCATATAAAACAACCGAAAAAAACACCATGTGTTTGAAACGCGGAGCGCGCACCACCACGAAATTCTATTTTTGTTGTATGCGTGTGCATACGGTGTTGATGTTTTTATTTCTGATGGATTTCCGTGCGACATTCGTAATTTTTTTTTTTTCGTCTATTCCGGCCAATAGACACACACAAAAACACTCGCATGAATCTCATTTGGTTTATAGTCGGATTGCCGTTCAGGAATGTAAAAGATAGAAAAATGAGCGCACACATTGTGAAAACTGAGCAAGAAGAACACATGAAAGCAATATAACATCAACGGAAAAAAGGGCAACACCAACCCATGTAATGAATGCTTCATGTATTTTTATTCAACGTGCACCAATAATCAACAAAGTTCGTCTCGTTTGTTGTTTTTTTTTCTCTTCTCCTCCACAACGGCAACTGTTACCATTGTTTTGCAGTCAACTTGCGATCAGTCTTTTTCTAAATTTTCCAATGTACTAGCGCTACTCGGGCGGCTGTCGGTTCAGTAAACGGTTTTATTTTTTCGTAGCTTTCTTCTCTCTTTTGTGTGCGATTGAATTTTCATTTGATTTGTAAAATTTTGCTGGGTTTTGTGACGTTTTTTTTTTTTTATTTTCTTTCAACGTTCATTTGGAGACTTAATTTCTGTGCAAAAAAAAAAGAGAAAAAAAAACGAAAAAGAGGAAAGAGGAGAAAAAGATCTCCCATTGTTGCAAAACTCTTTTTTTTCCTTCTGTTCCATGTTGACTCTCTCGTTGAGTTGAAGGTGAACAAAATTTTGATTGATATTTTAAGTGACATCATATACTATCATTCATCATCCTGTCATTAAATCGAATTATTTTATTTAACCGAGTGCAGTGCATCATACTCGTGATAAGTGAAAAATTGCCGTGTTCTTTTTGTTATTGATCACAGAACCGATGTCTCTGAATAATTTATAATTTAAAATCAACCGATCAATTGTGAAAATAATAAATAATTCGTGCGTCGATGGGCTTGATATTTGATTGGTTGTGCATCAACGTCAAAAAATAAACATTGACCAATAAATTGCAAATCGAATGTTTTTTTTATTAAGTGAATCACGTACACACGGTTGAAAGCAAATAGGAAATAGTGTGTATATGTGTGTGTACAACTGAAACATTGTTTCGTTCATGTACCAGTTTAAGGGACGACGACATTCATTTTGCTTCGTTGTCCATCTGAAATTGTGAGTAAATCTTTTACTCTTTTTTTGAGATTTTATCGACACTATTCGCTCAAATCGTTTTTTTCGGTTGCCTGTTCTCTTTGGTCACAACCTTGACCGTTCACGTTGATTTTTTTTTTCTTCGTTTCGTTCTTTGATGAAGTGAGCCATTAAAGTAAGCCAAAGTAAAAGTCTGGTCATTAAAGTAAGCCAACGGTGAAGCTGATGCAATTTAGAAGACGTCTGCATTCGTTTTTTTTTCTCCATTGAACGGATACGATTCGATTAATCAATCAAGCGTAGGAGAAAACACGAGTAGCAGAAGCACCGTATAGTTATTCTTAGTAGCGCGATTAAAATGTATGTCATTTGATTGAGGCTTATTAAAAAAGTTGAATGAAAAAAACATTAAATGCAAACAGCCGTTCGTAACAGTTTTAATACAAATTAAGAACAAATGAATATACCTGATAAGTATTTAAATTATGCAAAGCAATCAAATATACCTGGGTTGCCAAACAGAACCCAAATACACGCATTTCCAAACATAGTTCACAAATAGCTTTTGGGTGCTGTTTACGATTATTATCAAACGAATACAAACACATAGTTCAAGCAAAAAAAAACAAGATTCACAGCAGTGATGACTCGGACTGTCATTTTGCAGAAGAAAAAAATTTGAACGTATTCACAATTTTTTCTATTTGGCTTTGAGTTGTGCTCCCATTCCGTCTCACTCTCACCTCCGCATGTGACAGGTGCTAAAATATAATGAAAACAGAAAAATCAAAAAGCGCAACGAACAACAACAGCAACAACAAAAACTTCGGGTCGGTTCAGTCAATTCAAATGAATTAACGAATATGTATGAATAATTTTGATGTTGCCACTTCACTCAATGTCTACCAGCTAGGTCAATCCTCGAATTTGTTTCGGAATTTCGACTGAGTGCGTGCGATTTCATGTGAATAACATCACAACTCCCCCTCTCTCTCTCTCTCTGTGTGTGTGTGTGTGCTTGTGTTTTGTTTCGTTTTCAATTCGTTGCCTTTTTCCTGTAGTTTTCTGTTGTTTACGAGAGCAATTATTTGTTGTTCACGTTTTGGAAATTCATATAGAATTAAATTCAGTGTTAAAGTAACAACACAACGCCACTATAAATAGAGTTCACGTGTGTATGTTATGTATATGTATGTTCGCCGACCGGCACTGAATGAAGTCAACGAAAAGACCCTACAAACAAATGTCATGCATGGCTGATGGCAAGTATTTAATGCTCTTTTCAACATTCTAGCAGCACATGAATACACGTATATGAGCTGACTTTTGTTCTAATTTTGAATAATAAATTTTTACATCTTTTTATTATTTTAATTCAGATTTTAATTATGAAAAAAGTGGCATTTTTGTTGTCAGTGTCAAGATCGATATGTAATTATTTCAATTATTTATGTTTTCTCGTTAATTTATCGACGGAAATGAAATGAATGTAATTGAAAACAATAAGATGAATTTAATTGTTCTACAATTGTACAGTGAACTCTCTCAGTGGCTTGATTTTTCGATACTTTGAACGGATCGATTTTCTAAAGACTGATCAGAGATCGACAGAGTTGTGATTTTGAAGAGCAATTTTCGATGATTTTTAGATTATCAAACCAAATTTGTGTTATTTCATCATTGGAGGCAACACAACATTCATTCCCCCAAAAATATCATTTCGTATGGTAAAATAAGGAATGGTTATTAAAAACGGAGATTTCTCATTAGTATCAGCATCTCGTCAACATTAATGTATATCGTTTTGTGTAGAACTGCGTTGGTGGATGCCATCCAAATTTACCGCGCAACGTAGAGTCGTTGATCAGTGTGTTTTTCTTTTCAAGAATGGCCATAGTTTTTCAAGAATGCCGAGTTGACACTTGAAAACATGATCAAAAATCCGCCTACCGCGCAAAAAGCCGACACGTTTAGATCATTTGCGAATGAAATTGAAATTAAGTGCTAAACAAAAGTAGAAATGGACAAAAAAAATGAGCATCTTAAAGAGATTGTCTTCCCTATTTTGATGAATAAACTATGATTTATTCCGAATTGGGTTTTTTTCTTCGACTATTTGCTCATTTGCCCATATATTCTAAACAGTAAATTGATTACGTAATACATACTTACAATTTGTTTTCGGTTTCTACTTACATGTGAAAAAGAAGATGAATCTGATCATCGAATCATTCATTGTCGATCAAAAAGGGGAAAAAGCCAAATCAAACGCAAAATTTGGCAGTGGGTTTCAAAAGTTGTCTGACTAAAAACAAATGTTAGAAAATAACTTTGGATCGACTGTTTGTCAGTCAATGTATTGTCATCGATATTTTTTTGTTGATTACCTTTGGTTACCTGCTTCAGTCCCAACTTCAGTTTCAATTTGATGCATGTAAATCATGTGCTAAACGTCATAAATTGCTTTCACTTTCCATTACCATTCACCATGTTCATGTATTGAACGATGATGTTAAATATTTGGTTTAGGCTGAGGTATTTGTTAACGCATATAAAGTAATGGGTGTTACGCAATAGACTGAGCACAGTCCCTAATAAAAATTTCGATATTTTCTCGACGAAAAATTCTTTGACAGTTTTTTGAAAAAAAAAAAAAAAACATTTGATTGCAAAATGTTCAACACCAAACCAGAAATACTTGTTTCTCTCTCTCTCTCTCTATCTTTCTTTTTTTCCCGCGCTATGCGAACATCCGAAAGAAAAGAAAGAAGTGTCATCACAAAGATACATAACCCATGCATGTTGAAGATGCTTATGTCTGATTAAGCCGCCAATGACACTTTTCTTCTTTTTCTTCAAAGAAAAATCTTCTGCTGTATACTATCGATTAATTATGCATGCATCACGCATCGGCGGCCAGAATTTTGATTACTTTTCTGCCATCGTGCGTTTAACTTATTTCTCTATCTGAGCGTGTGTGTGTGTGTGTGTGATTATAACATAACGGCTGTGTGCTCTGGGCTAATCCGAAACCATTCTCTTATTATGTTCGCATTCGGTCGATTTCTCTTTTCAAGATTGGTTCATTCATCAAGTTTGAATCAATTAACATATTCAACTGCCTTTCGTCGATAATCATCCCTGAGCAGCAATATGTGGAAGAAAAAAAACATGTTTTCATGTGTGTGAATGCGAGCGCGCGATTTTCGATTGTCAATGAAATATTTAGGCAATTTTCTCTCTCTCTCTCTCTCTTTCTCTCTCTTTCTCTCTCTTTTTCATCGTCGACGGCTTGGAAACAAGTGGATTGTTTGATGTTATTCAATGGGATTTGGTGAATGATATGGGCACGCGTGTGTGCACAACAACAAATCCATGCTCATTTGCATTGGTATAGGAATATGCAATCTGAATCGGAGGTGCCATTAAAACAGAAAAAACCATTTAAATGCCCAAATTCAGCAATGTGCACCGATTTCGGTTGACCTTCACAATACATTCGCATTCAAACACACACGCATACACACTTTGTTTCATGTTTTCGTACGCGGCTCGCTTTGTATGTCATACGATATTCTTGAGCCTCGTCTACCTGGTTGTCATCGTTTTATCTAGCCTAAATGATACACGCGTATATCCGCATACAAATTGACTTAATCGTGCCTCTTTTTTTTTCTTTGATGATTCTTGTAAAACGGTATCAATCGAGAATACAAAATCCATTATCTTTGGACGTTGCTCCCAGAGAAATATCTCTGTTTAACAGTAATGAAATCGAAAAAACAATTTTTTTTCAATATTTCATAGCATCTAAAGGTCTAAGATTGGCGAAGAAAAAAAATAATGAACCATGACTTCTCATCGTAAGATACGGACGGCAATTTCATCCGTAGGTTGATTCAATATTGATAAACTTCAGATTCAATAAGAACAGCACATGAAAAATGAAATACAACAACAAAATATCGGTTCGATACCATGTTCGCACATGCAAATTGAGTTATTCGGGGAAAAAAATTGATTGGCCGGAATAATTTTGCAAATTGTTTTCTACAATCTTGCGAAAGTGTTTTTTTTCTCCTCTTCCTTCTCCTTCTTCTTCTTGAGGATTGTTGAAGTTTCCGAGTCTCGAAAGAATCAAAGCTTGACTGAATCAATAGCAACTCGGTTTCTTTAATACACACGCAAGGTATAACTTCTTGGATTGAATTCATATATGAACACGACAACCGAATTATCACCTCCTGATTTTTAAGCAACACCTTGATCCGTGAATGTTCCGTCCAATTCAACAAATGAATTTGATTTCAAATGATATTTTGATTATGATGTGAGATATTTGTTTGACAATCAATTTAAATAAATTGTCAAAATGATAATTGGTTTTGATTCCATTTCCGTTGCATTCACGTCACACTTATTGAAATGTTCACACTGTTTCTGGTTCTAAGTTCTCTTTTATTGTATCAATACTCCGTCAAGGATAAGTTTTATGTTCAATAATAATAAAGGTAAACAAAAATGAATGGACGACTGAATGGAGGTGCGTGTGTGTATGTTGATTGAACCAAAGACTTAACAAAAGAAATTCCTTGAATTGCGTCCTAAGCCATCGGTAAATAAATAATCCTTTCTCTCCAATGGCAAGATTAATCGGCAATAAATAGACTGCGCATCGTTTTGCTACTCCACTACTTATCCACTTCAACAAGACAATTCGTAACGAATTGAATTGTGTAGACTAACACATTTCAACGGAATGGAATGGAATCGTAATCGTATTCAACTATGCTTTTGTGTTGAACAAACAAAAATAAATTTGTCATTGGCCCATTCAACATGTAAACATTATAGATGAGGTGATGAGGTGTTAATAAGGTAATCAACCATCAAAAAAATAAATAATTTTCTATTCCACGGAGATCGACTCGCTTCCATTTTTTTCCCGACTCTTTCGTTGCGAATTTGAAACCAAATCGCTTGTAAAATTTCACCGATTCGCAAATTTACACGGAAACATT